GCAGCAGCTTTGACGATGGGTTACTAGTGGCAACGTGACTTGTTGGCAAGGAAGATCGAAATCTGTTGGCTAATGAGAGCGCATCTAGCGACTCTAGGTTTTCGGTGATAATTGGTATTTCTTTTTTTAATGTGCAATGTTCGATAAAGGATCCAAAAAGACGTTTCGGGGAGGGGAGCAGAATCCAATGGCTGCACCAGCAACAGAAACTGTTCAACTGGAAATCAGCTGGGAAGTCTTCTGAGAAGGCCTTTCCCGTGGGACTTGGAGATTTAAAGGCGGAGAGGATGGATCTGAGAGTGGTTTGGTTGAGAGGAAGTGAAGACAAAGCTGCCAGATGATGGCATTCACGGATTCCTTTTATTTACATTGGGCCCCACTACCGGTGTGGCCAGGCAACGGGTTGGCAGTGGAACCGGAGCGGGTTTTTTCGATGCTCCGCTGCTGGGGTAACTTGCGCTAGTCCGGGATAGGCAAGCCTCATTTGCCCCTACCTCGTGAGAGCCTGTCGGATCCATTTTTTCTGCCTCAAACCTGTGACCCTAGAGGCTACAGCCCAACGACATCTGCCTTCCTGCTGGTGATTATTAGAGACAGGGAAAGACCAGGGCTTTGTTCAGCGCCGCCGCAGTCTGCTCCACCACTCAAGTGTCACGTCACTGCATTGACGAACAAGAACTCCTGCAGACTGCCCGCCGCCTTTCTTTTCCCTTGTCCTCGAGCGCCGCCTGCGAACTCGTGGGAATTTCAAAGATCTAGTCTTTGAGATGGTCATTGAGGGTCTGTCTTAGCCCGAGACAGACTTCTGTCGAGATGGCTCAACAACCCACCACGCCGGGTGGTGGTGCGCCTTTGACCAACTCCATCTTTGGGGTCCCGAGTTTGCCAACAGTTGCGCCGCCGCCGGTGCCTGGCTCGAACAACGCTGGCTCCCTTGTACATGCATCGACCGGCAATGCATCCCTAAGCGCCGCTGCCACGCCGGGCTCCGCAGCCTCCTCTTCCTCCGCCAATACCTACATCATGCCAAACTCTCCTGTCAAGAACCGACCCCTCGAAGGATATCGCCCCAAAGTCACTCGGACTCTGGGTCAACGGCCGGCATGCTTAGTGAATGCGTCGGTTACGTATTGCGGGAACAATCAGATATACGCTTTCGGCGGCTTCGACCAATATACGGACGAGGTGTACAACCATGTCCTACGACTGGATTTGGTCAGTCACCAGTGGTCCTTGGTTGACAATTATGGTGATATTCCAGGGGTCCGAATGGGTAAGATCAGTTTGGAATCATCATCCCAGTCCAGAAGGCTAATGGAAACCTAGGCCACACCGCTACAGTCTACCAGGGCGACAAGCTGCTTGTCTTTGGCGGCGAGAACGAGCATAGAACGTATCTGTCTGACCTAATCGTCTTTGACTTGAAGACAGCCTTTTGGACTCAGCCCCAAGTGTCTGGCCCCATCCCTAAAGGTCGGGCTAGACACGCCGCTGTCCTCCACGAAGACAAGTTATTCGTGATAGGCGGTATCACGGGCCAAAATAATTATGTGCTCGACGACATATGTTTCCTAGATCTGAAAACCTTTACTTGGTCCAAGGCGTGGCGCTTTGTCGCTCGGTTTGATCATTCAGCTTATATTTGGAACGATCGAGTTTGGGTTTTCGGCGGCCTGAGCGAAGACATGGACAAGGTTAGCGACCTGTGGTGGTTAGATTTCAAGGGCAGCCCCGAGTTTGACTCTCGACCCCAGATTGGGACCCTCGACCGCCAGGACTCTAACAGTAGAATGACTGGAAGTCCTCGGCCACCTTACACTCTTGGCGCCCCTCTCCCCGCAGTGGGCACATCAGGCTACGCAGCCAACTCTCGTACGGCTCAAGTCAATACCCCGTCTTTTCAACTAAAGTCATATGCGCCCAGAGCACCAGGCTCGATCTCATCTCTGAAATTCATTTCAGGTCCTGCCGTACCTTCTCAAGGCTCAGGCATACATTATCATGCCTACTCGTCAGGGACTTTGTTAGATTTCGTAACCCCCGCTGCTACCATTACTCCGAGAGAGTGTTCGCTATCTGCGTTAGACCTCACGTCAATGAGATGGCAAAAACTTGCCGAGGGTCGTGAGATTTTCAAAACGGGCTACCGGTGGCTCTATTGTACTATAAACGAAGACGGCACCAAAGCCTGGCTTCTTGGATGTCCTACTGACCCCACAGCAACTGATTTGGGTCCAAACGGTTACGAAGAGTATCTCAGGTACGTCTCTTTGATTCCCATCCCATTAACTGGAACTTTATCAATCTAACTTTTACCAGCGATGTGATGGAGATTGACCTTAGAAGATATGGATTCCTGGGCACTAATCCGTCAGAGCCCCGAGCGGAGACCAGACCATTACACATCGCAAGGCGAGCAGATGTCCCCTCGAAAGGCTTGGGTGGTGATCTTGCGAAATTGTTCGATCAACCTCCTGAAACTGGAAGCGGTACTGACTTCATCATCACGGCACTGGCTGCAGAGCATGATGAGGACGATGCCATGAGCCCTAGAATGACGGCAGAAAACTCGCAGGAGGGTCATAGCTGGCTAGCACCCGATGCACCTACCTCGCAGCCCATTCATGTTCACAAACTAATTCTCCAAGCACGGTGGCCACATTTTGCTCGTTTATACAATTCGCAAATGGCGGAATTCCACACAAAGAAAATGCATATCCCCGAGCCCTATACAGTAGTCAAGGCCTTCCTCTATTACCTTTACACCGACAATATTCCCGGCACTAATAGTTCTGATTCGGAGACTCCAACCGAGATTACGGATATTGCCGGCCTCTTGGTTATGTCGAACATTTACAACATACCGCACCTTCGGCTTGTTTGCGTCAATCGCCTTTCAAGAGAACTTGATGTTGAGCATGCTTGCATCATCTGGTATTGCGCTGGTCTTGCAAACGAGGAGTGGCTCCGCAAACGCGCCGGGACCTTTTGTTTCACCCACTGGGGTCGCATCGTCCGAACACAAGGGTTCCTCCGCCTACCGCGCTCGGCCCTCGTGGAACTCTCTCAGGAGATTGACATGGAAGGTCGGATCATTGGAGGCGAGGAACTAGAGTGGGATGGCAGTGGCGATGCGCAACAATCATTACGCAAATCAAGCATCAGCAGCAACCAGACTCAGATGCTTGAGTCAGAAGTCGACGAAGATGATGGAATGGAAATGACTTGATGGATATGATTTCGGTATGATTTTCACTCGCATAATGGACGAGGACACGCTTGTTTGTCTTGGCCTTGGTTTTTCTCTCTCCCGTTCTACTTCTTGAGGGTATAAGTGCTGCATGTATTCCTGTGGTTTTCTCAATGTTGTTTGAGCATCGCACGGCGTTGGTCGTTGTCTTCCCTTCAATACCTTTAAACTTTCGAAGAATATGTCACTTCCGATGATGAACAACAAAACATCTCCGCCCGTTCTTGCTTTCTTTTTAGCCCCTCCTAGTCTATTAGGCCCTGATTTACACGCATCATCAGGACATCCCCAAGAATCTCCTTTGTTTCGCGCATTCTTACATTACCCTGTTGATAGAGACAATAAAACTCCATTTCAGTTCATTCCAAACTAGTCATCGTATCCGCATAGTCACTCAATTGGGAAACTGCTGCGTTATCACTCGTCGCGTCATCTCCCTAGAATTAATTCACTCGTAAAACCGGGCTTAGCTCCAAGGACGAGGTGAATTTGCCAGGCCGGGAAGAGGGAAAATTCCAAACCAAAGCAGTAACCTAAGGTATGTACATGGCCCAAAACCCGCCTTTCTCCCAATTAGTCCCCCCTCAGCGGCAGGGGGAGCCCGCCCAGCAGTTCTCCCCAGCCTTGGGCTGGTCAGATTAAAAGCAAGCAGCAGTAAATACACACGGAAACCGAACCCAGTATTATCAAACACCCGTTTCCCCCCTCACCCATCGTATGGTCCGATCCTTCATCTCGTCTAGAGGCACATCCATCCTCATTATCTCATTGCGCATGGAAGCGTGGGAGCACGTCCAAGCTCGAGTCGCCTCGAGTCAGGGGGCGCGGGTGACATCTGCCCCTCCAACCCCCACCAGATGCCAGAAGGTGTGGGAGGGTCTTGGGAGATGTTACTGATGATCTTTTCTAAAAGCAGACGGGGTATTGCGACATCGAAACGAAAGTCAACTTAAAAAAGAAAAAGAAAGAAAAAAACACATAGGGAGAAGAAGAAAAAAAGAAAATGAAAGAGAGACAAGTTTTGAATTCGCGTCAAGAGTTGAGAATTGATTGACCGCAAGAGTCAGCTTTAAGAACAAAATATTTCAATTCAGAAAAGGAAAACCAGAACCATCATAGAGCAGAGGTGGGGCCAAAATGGCTCGTTGAAGTTGGGGCCAACCAGCAACTGAGCTATGACGACGGAAAGGGGTATTGAGTGTTTCGATAATCCACATACCACGCGGCAGCAGTGGTGGTGGGGGTATAAGATAGATCGCTCGAGGGAGGGGAAGTTGGCGGGGTTGCTATTGAACCGCAGCAACATCCAGGGGGGGGGGGGGAGGAAAAGAAAGCAACCAAACAAGTAAAGCAAAACCAAATTTCATCTCTATAGAAGCTCCCGGCGACCTGCTAGGAACCATTAATGCCAATTAGCATCCTTTTTTTGCCACGACTGAAACGTAACCCCAATACAAAATATAAACGCCGTCGCAACATGCCGTAACTCATAGGGCAGTCAAGCTCAAAGGCTGATATCAAAAACTTTTCTGTTTCCATTGCTCGTCCTTGGTCAACAAGACAAGACCTGGGTGGCTGCCCTCAAAAGGGAATATGGGGGGCCCTAAGACCCGCAGGTAGAGAGAGGCAACAATCAGCTGAGAAGAAATGCAGCTCATGTCGTCGTTTCAATGCGCTTCATTATACCACAGGTCATACAGGCTTATTGCAGAAAGCGATAGACCTTCTGTGCATGTGTAATTATGCCTGCCTAGAGTGGGCCCTGCTGATGCATGCTGCTGTCACCTGGCAGATTTCCGTTAGGAGGAAGCCTGTTTTGTGGCAACTTGAGACCTGCAGCCTCCGCCTGGAGCTTGAACTCGGGATTGCAGGGCAGTGAATGAGATTTATGCTGTCATACCAACCGATTAGTAAAGTTCAGAGCTCATTAGGAAGGAATGAATGGTCCGACTCACATATTTCAGCCCGTTCAAATTCTTGTATCGCTTGCCACAGGTTTCACAGTTGAACGGCTTCTCCTTTTCCATGCCCAAAGTTCCTGGGTAGGGAGCACTGGTCTCTGGGTTGACAATCGAGAAGGTACCATCGCCGTTTTCGTGCAACTGTTGAGTCTGGTGGCCGTGTGCCTTGTGATACCTAGATCGAGTCAGCGCCTTGATCCGCTATATGCTGGTTGGTGGATAACTCACTTTAATCCATTCTGATTTTTATATGCCTTTTCACATCCAATGACAGGGCACTTGAAAGGCTTATGCTCCTCCGACATCATCATGCTTTGTAACCGCTGCATGAGAATCTTATTGGCCTGGGGGTCGTTGATTTGTCCAGGTGTGATGCCCAGTTGCGCTAGCTGCGCTTGGATCGTACGATTGCCTGGAGCAAAGGCGCCGTTGGGGCTGAACAAATGCTTTCCCGGGTCGTTGATGCAGAAATTAGAATCATTGCCATTGGCCCCAAAGTTCACGTCCCCAATGTCGTTGGCGGTGCCTCCCATGGGCATGCCTGGGATATCTTCTTCCATGTCATCCATTCCACCCATTTGCCTCTGTGCAGCCATCTGCTGCTGCTGCGTGGTCAGGGTGGGCGTGTTGACTGATGAAACTGTGGGGTTGTGTTGGAAGCCGAAGCTGGCGGCAGCCGGTGTTGTCGGCTGGGAAGTACGAAGACCTTGTGTTAGGCCTGAGGTATCCATGTGTAACTGCGGTCGTTGCTGCTGTCCAAAAAGGTGTCTGGTTTGGTGCATCCTTTGGCTGTCGTCCAACTCCATCGTCCCGACTGCATCGTCCATTTCCATGTCTGCCACAGCGTCCATATCATCGGGTAAGTTTGCACCCAGTCCCATGTTCATCTGGTTATCGTTGGGTGGCACAACACCTATCAGTGGCAAGCCGCCGGGCGCCTGCTGACCAAGTTGTGATGGTGAAGGGTGAGCTGTCGTCTGCCCAGTGCCTGGGGTCTGTCTTGCGCTTTGCATCCTGTTGTTGCCTTGAATTCCCATGGGGCCAAATTGGGAGAAATTGTTATTGCGTGCAACATTGGGACTTGTCGATGTATGCGCTTCCTCGTAATGCTGGAGGAGATCGTGAAGGTTAGGGAGGATTTTCCCGCAGCAGGTGAAGTCTCGCATAAAGTTGGCCTCGAGCTTGGGGAGATAGGACGACGAGTGAAACGATGGTGACTGGTGGGCGCCAAAAGGCGACGATCCTTGCATCATGATGCTGTGAAGTGGTCAAAAGTTAGCGATGTTCTCATTAGCATGCCCGCAAGGCTCAGGATGAAAGGAAGTCTGTGAGCTGTCTCCAAAACCACCGCGGATGCCAAGTGACAGCATTTGCGGCTCTTGGCCCTTCCTTGCAGAACACAGTTTCCGTAGTAAAGCAAGAGGATCGCAAGGCGAGAGTTAGGGAGATGGCGAGCGCAGAGCCCAGTGTTGCGAGGTGAGGGGGTATGATATAGCCACAAGGCGAGCAAGCGGTGGGTTGGGTGCTACTTACTCATCTCGCACAAAACTCCCAAAAGACATGCCGCCCCAGCTGATGCCGCCCATGAGGCTCCCAGCCAGACTCTCCCTGCGATTTCGGTTCGCATTGTCTCGGTTCTGGTTGTTCATGGAAATGGGTCGCGGGCCAGCACTCACGAATGAGTCCTGGCGCTGGCGACCCATGGTAGGGTCGAGTGCGGGGCCTGAAGCCATTTCGGCTTCGAGGTAGTTGGCGCCGAAGTTGGCCAGCTTGGAAATCGGAGGGGTGTTCGGTGTGAAGACGAGGTGGGCGAAGACGAAGTTGGAGAAGATCAGAGATGGCAGGTAGTGGTTGATCCGCGGTGGTGTGGTAGTGGAAGTAGGTGAGGAGCGGAAGTGGTCATAGAAATTCGGGGGAAATAGTCGGGAGGCGTTGCCGGCCTTAGGGGACGGTTGTGGTGAGTGGGAGGTGGGCGTCAGGGATTCAGCTGGAGACAGTGCCCAGATCGCACCAGCAGATCAGGCCGTGGGTGGATGCCCGGCTGCGGCGAAAGAGAGGATCGCTGGAAATGTGGGTGACAAATGCGTCCGTGGCTGGGCTGGTGTGCTGTGTAGTCGCGAGTCGTGGTCCCAGGTCGACGTTGTTGGCTGGCTCCCCTCTCCAAACAGATCGGGTCCGCACTCGGAGGCAACTCAGTGTCGTGATCCGAGGGCTGATGGGCTGCGCCGCTCCCCTGCGATGTCTAGTGCCGCCTCTTGCTGTGCTTCCTTTTTCTCAGCTGGCGCTGCTGGTTGCTTCAATTGTCAAGACCCTGAGTCTCGGACACGGTTGCGCAGACTCGACTCCACTAAACTTAGGCTAGACGCTGCCTGGCTGCTTTTGGGTGGCAGCCGATGCGGTTGGGTTGGGTAGTGATGCAACTGGGCGAGGGGGTGTTGTTAAGTAATGTACCGCTTGGCCGCTCGCTCTCTGGCTCAGATGCGCCTCAGAAAAAGAAAGTTGGTGCGCTGGAAGTATAGGCGAGTATATCTATTATAGTGTGGTCCAGGCTGGCATTAGTGCAAGGTAGCCTACACAATACGTATTCGTGTCGTAAGAAAGCGTGGCCGCCGTTTGAGCTGTTCGGATGGGTCGGTCAAGGTTTACTCTCCCACACGATTAAACATGCCGAGAAAAACACAGTATCATTCTTCTCCCTCGCGAATCAGGCGAGCAGGGCTTGGGGCTATTTGCAGATACGCCGGCAGCGCGCGACAAGGTGAGAGAGGTGCAGGTCGTTGCTGTACAAGTCGTCCGACAAGACCAGAAGGTTTGTGCACAAGCTCCAGCACTAGGGAACCTGCATATGCAGACACTCACTATTAAGTAATAATTGCCTGTGCATATGGGCTAAAAACGGCTGGGGGTGTCGTCGGCCAGTAAGTATTGGCAGGCACAGGGGCCTTCCGAGGGGCCACTACTGGCGTCCTCGAAGCCGCCATCGCGTTAGTGCATCCTTGCTATTTCGCCCGCTCAGGCATTGCCTGGCAGGTACTTTGCCGGTACTCTGCTCTGCTTCTGGGGCTGTCGTCGGCTGATCTCTACCTGCCTGCTTGGGATGGGATAACTCTGTACTGCGCAAGGAGTGCCGATTCGACCAAGAGAATGAGGATGAGGATGTGGGAATGAGACACCCAGCCAACAAGCCGGCGCCAGGTGCCAGCTTTGGGCGAGTAAAAATAGGCCAACCGAGAGACAGACGACTAAATGCCACGTCGTCTCGTCTCATAGCCATTCTACTGGCCAGCAGCGTGAGACTGCCAACATCGCACGCATCTAACATATATTGGGAGTGAATGAGTCAAACTAGCACGGCGACTAGCACTGTTGCCCTCAAACTGCCACATGGGAGTGCCTTCCTAGTACTAGCCGGGCTGAAGTAGCTTTCCATAATTGAGAACCGAGGGGAGCCGACGGGTACTTGGACGCTGTCCTGCCTCAACGCCCCCAAAATTACTTTGCCGACACCACCCAATTCACCTCTATCGAAGCCTCTTCTCAACACGGCTATATACATGGTAGGTAGTATGGATGTAACAAGGGACCAACACTAGCAGGTGCGGGAGCAGGTGGCCTCCATGCAGGGCAGGCTCCCGTCAGCCATGCATCCGGCTCCTTGCTCGCATTCTTTGCAGCCGCCTGTGCCTGGTACCACCTCCCTCTTTCTCAATCTTGCAGCCGTTCCTCAACAGCAGGCTGGCTGCATGTTTCGGCCTTGCAGCTGGAGATGGCTGCAGAAAAGTCGCGCGGATTGGTGTAAGTCGGTTGGCCTGCTCTAGCAGCTAGCCGGATGCAAATCATGCAATCATCATGCACCTGCCCTTGTTTCGAGTTCGGGGCTGCAGCAAGAGTGGTGTCGTTAATGCAGCTCCAGCGGGCGCGAGAAAAGAGGACACTCGGCTGCTGACCCATTTCAGATGCATCGTGGTCGAGTTTAGCTCGGCCGCGAATTACCTGCGTACCAGTATGTACGAGATGATCGCATATGAGAACTGAATTCAAGTTTCCCATGTGAAATTGGGGTAACCCAGCAAAGTTGCCTCTTCCCACTCCCATGATGATTCATCCTACTAATACACTTGGAATTAATGGTACTTCTAGGTACCTCTACCCTCCAACTATCAGATTTACCCGAGGTTACAATGAGTGGCAGCCTCACATTGCACAATTCCAAGAAAAGCTAGCTTGTAATTGCAGGCTTGCTTCGCTGCTCGCGCGGTGCCTGAGCCAGTTTCACAGACCAAGAATTTCCCCGAACTCATAGCCTCTTGTTCAAGTTATGGGGAACAGCGTGTTACACACAAGACTCAGTGGAGCGAGCACATGGAAGCCTTGACCTATACAAGGCTCTGATAAGATGTGATCAAGCTATATTATCCAAGCTGTCAACCGCCTATCGGCATAGACCACCATCTACCTAGGCGCAGGGGTGGCATACGGCGACTGCCCCGGGCTTTGCTGAGCGATTGACTGATGTCATCCTCTCAATTATCAAAGAGGCAAAGCTGAGCCAACAGATGGTCAAAGCGGTTTGACCTCCTCGTCTGTTTGCTCTCCCCAACAAGCCGCCAGCGCTTAATCTCGGGTCTATATGTGATACCTGTCACTGCCGGGGGCCAAAGGGCGTCAAAAGCGCACCAAGTAATCAACGCGACAACAAGCACGATCCATGTCCATATGTCGCCTGACAATTTAGCTAGAACACCAAAGAACGTACCAGTTCCCCGCTGACCTGGAGAGGAAAACCCACATCAGCATTTTCGGGTCTCCGTGGATCGTCGCGAGGTAGTTTATTTGCAGTGATTCTAAAAAGGTATGTCAGGAGGTGATGAATCGCCTCTTGGCCCATGCTCCATGCTTTGTTCGCATGACCATCGTTCTCCCCTGACACCGCCAGATCTCCCCTGGCATTGGCCAACAATCTTCCCCAATGGGCATATCAATTGCCAGAGCCAGGCCACCGGGGCCTCCAATCCAAAGCGCCAGATCCATGGGGCGACGTCACGGACCCCAGGAGAGCTTGTCGTGGCTATCTCCCCGAATACCACGACTCAACTAACCGGGCCGGTCGCCTCATCCTGTCTTGATCCAGAGAATGGCTTGTGCTTATGCCCTGAGTTTACAATAGGCTGTGTCAACACACCCATCCTCCAGGGACCAAGTCACAAGCTAAACTCTAAGCGAAGCTTTTGGTCTCGCAAGGTGCATAGAATTCAATTACACACGCCTCCACTAGAGGTCCCATTCCGCTACAGCGCAATTGGATGTATTGCGGTTGGCCCTCTTTCTTTATAACGCTGGTTTCGGGAGCCTTCCCACTAACGATGCCGCGCTGGCGGTGTACTATAATTTTTAGGGAAGGGCAATACGAACTAAAATGGAACCAGCAAGCTAAGGGAACCCAGTGTATTCGATTGAGCGGCGGTGTGATTGCGATGAGCGCTCGCAAGAAGCTCGCCGGTGTCCCCGAAGTCCATCTCGAAGATGGATATTTTTATATATTCACATACAGCCATGGATTCGATTCCCCAAAGTCGGTCCGGTTAACCTGCTGCAGGTGCGCGGGCCGTAAAGAGGCGAACAGGTAGATGCGAGTACCTGCCAGGCAACAATCCCAAGGAGCCTGGTCCAAATGCGATTGGAGTTGGTCAGTGCTTGTACCTGAAGTAGCCCAGATGTACTAGGTGGGTCCCTAATCCCTGGCCGGCATATTCCCTGACTCACAGTCAGTCACAGCTCCAACCTTCACAAGGCTCGGTGCACGCTTCCCCTTGGGGACCCAAGTATCGACGGCCAAGCCAGACGACGGCCGAAGGGCCAGATGAGGATTACATATGATTTCATACGGGTGTGTAAGCCCAGTCCGGTATCGCTGCGAGGCAGTCACGGGGCGGCAGTTGCTCACGAGATGCATCAAGGCTGAGGCAAAGGTGGCAAGGGTCCTCTCCAAGACTCCAAGGCCTGTTCCCCATCCTGCCATCCTGTGCGCCCCCACTGAAATGTTCTGGAAGCTCTTCCTTGGTGCAGCGCAATTGTTGCTCAATTCGCAGGCGGCTGTCCAATGAGAGGCGAGCGAAATACTGTCAGCCTGGAATTCGTCGGCATCCATTCGGGCTCACGCAAGGCCAGCCACTCCAGATCCAAATTTTTAACTGGAGAAGGCCAGATCATCACGGAGGACGAATCAATGGAGTCTAGCACGGGGACATGACGTGGTTCTCCTGCCCCTCGGAGAATGATTTCGCACATCTTGCAGGAGGAAAGGAGCTTGCTCCGGAACTACGCATCCGTGAACCTGCCATGTTCCGAATGATCCATCCAAGCTGTGGCCCGAGGCCTCGGCATGCAGCTGACGGCGGCCATGCGTACAACGCCCAGCCCGGCCAATTCGCGCTTGGCTTGAGTCCGCCTCGCGCCAGAGCGGCGAGCGTAATTAAGCCAGCTGCCTCTAAATTGTGGGAGGGCTTAGCGGTATGAAGACCCTAGATTTCCGGATTTCCAGCCGAACAGGGCAATCTCAACGGCCGGGTGCTCCGAAGATGGGGTTCGGCGCTGGGAGACTGACGTAGCAATGACTCTGTTGGTGAATCATCAAGCGCAGGTCCGGTGGAAAGCGTTGCAAAAGCCACACACTTGCATTTGTCCCAACTGAGTAATCGCGATTAAACCATTGCTCGCTTTTTGTATGACCTGA